AAATGTTGAACTTCACATATTTATACTCCCCTTGCCTCTTCAGCTCCTCTTCATCAATTTAAAGACATTTGTTAGTTTATTTGGGGGTCGGGGTTAGCCTCAGAACTTTTTGATTGTACTGGGACATAAGCGTATGTTAGTCTGCATATTTTTTATTTTAAGAATTATAATGTATGGCATAGGGAATTCAGTCAGCATTAATGTAATGGCTAGATAGAGAGCCAGAGGAGAAAAAGAGCAATCAGAGAGATCATTTTATAAACTATATAAATGTCTAACCAATGTACTGTATACTTGAAACTAATAATAACAATTTTTTTTAACACCTTCCCCCCCACTTTCACTCCTGGTTTTCATTTCCTCTTAAGAACTGGATCTCTGAAGGTGGGGCTTCTCCTCCCATGCGCTCACAGCATGCACCCGGGGCCTAGCACATCCGGGGCCTGGCACACCAGGGATATGGACCGTGGCTCCACTAAGGCTCGAACCCAGGACCTTATGTGTGTAAAGCAGACATGCTAACCACTACTCTATGGAACCACCCCAGTAATAATTTTTAAAAAAGTATTTTGTCTGGTAAAAAAAAAAGAATTATAATATATGTTATGCAGATAATTTAGATTTAGTTTTATATTTAAATAGATTCAGTGCCCACTGTTGGTGGGCTTTGCCCTTGACTTCTTTCTTTTATTTGCACTCCAGAGTCAGCAAGTTCCTTCAACTCCATATCCAAAACATATCCTACATCCAAGTACTTCTCTTTATTACCATCTCCACCCTTCTTGTCCCCGTTTCCTCTCCCATACCTCCCATCTGCTACCATCTAGTTTCTACAAGCTACCAGAGTGATCTTTTGAAACACAAATCATAGTGCTCTCCTGCTTAAACCTTTGTGGAGCTTCCAAACCCACTTAGGATGATATTCAGACTTTCAACCCTGCTTATAAAATCCTACATGATCTGCTCTGTCTACTTCTCTTGAGTTTATTGTGTATCTTTTCAAATTCTCTGCCTCCATTTTCTTTTTATTTAAACAGTATGAGATTAAAGTAGCCTTTCCATTCTTCCTAAAGTACTGTTTTTTGTGATCTTTGCTCAAAAGACTCTTGCTCATTCAGGTTTCAACCTAAATGTCATGTCCTTAGAGAGACCCATTTACAACTACCTAATTTAAAGTAGACACCCAGGTCCTTGTTATTTTAGTTCTCTGCATAGGACATGTGACTGCCTGATACTTTCTATACACACACACATATATGTATATTTGTTGAAGGTGTGTGTCTCTCTCTCCTAGAATGCAAGATCCATGATAACAGTGATTTGTCTTCACTGTTATATTTCAACACCTGGAACACAATAGGCACATAGTGGGCACTCTTTGTACAAGGGAATATTATAAATGCCTTTGCATAAGAATGACTAATTGACTAGGTATAAAATTATTGCTCACACATTTTTCTCCACTCTCAAAAAATCTATAGACATTTACTCCCTTGAATATTGTTAGAGAAAACTGTAAGGCAGGCCTGATAATTTTCTTCTTGTAGGTGCTTCTGCCTGATTTCGGCACCAATATAGCATATCTTCTCTAAGCTGTGATGTTCAGAAAATAAACCCTTAATATTTATGATATCTTTAGATTTTGATTCATGGTTAATAATAATTATAATTTTAAAAATTAGTAACAACTATAAAATTAGTTACCCAAGAAATAAGTTTTTCTTATAGTTTAAATATATACTTTTCAGTAAATAGTTTCATTCATTTTCATCCTCTCTGCTTTAGAATTTGAGGAATTGATCCTCCATTAAGTGACTGATTTTATTCATTTGCATCGTCTCATTATATTTTATTTGTTTTCTTTTTTTTCTTTTTTTCTCTTTTTGCCTTAAAAATTTTTTTTTCCTATATGACCATAGATTTTTATACCATGATGTTTTTTAGCATTTTCAGTAAAGCCAGAGTTGATGAGGTTTTTCATATTTCTGAAACAGACTTAAAGAAATGTTTAGGTCAAAAATATGATGGTGTGCCAAAGAATTTTTCCAACATTTGGTTCAGATACTTCAGATAATTCTGGAGACAGATGTATTTCAGAAATGAATTCTTAACTATACTCTGCAGCTTTTTAAAAAATTACACTAAAGCCAATGTGATACAGAAGTGTTTCCTTGTATTGATTTAACAGATGAACTGGTTTAGAGTTGTATTTAAACATGAGAAGATAATTATTTGCCAATATGACTTAGAAAAAGCCTTTTGTCTGACAAAATATAAACAAGACTTTTTTTTTAAGTGAATGAAATAGCAGCTGTAAACTTAATACTTTTCACCCGAGTTAAAAATAGATTATTAAAGTTTATAGTAATTTTAGAGTCCTGAATTTTATTCTGTATTTACCGACTTGCCCCTGGAAATTTAATTTAATTTAATTATATTTAAAATTTTACTGAAAAACAAATTGCTTTTCAGGCTTTTCCTAATACTCATAAAAATTCTAAAGTAAACATTAGAGTTAAAAATAAAAATAGATTAGCACAGAGAATTTTTTTTAATTCGCCGTAAAAATAATTGAAAAAGAAATGAGTCAGCTTTCTTTCCTATGTCCCTATTCTTTTTCTTTTCTCTAAATAAACTTATTTATTTAAATTAGTTTCAAGTATGCAGTACATTAGTTAGACATCTATAATGTTCATAAAACGATCCCCCCAGTTGCTCCCTCCCTCCCCTGGCCCTCCACTTAGCCATCATATTAATGCTAACTACATTCCCTCTACTTTTGTGCTCTTCACATACATAGGCAAATGATTTTCAAGAATGATTTATCTCATTTTAATAGTAGGTACTTATTAAATATAGGCAACATCTTACAAATGGTGACATTCAAATAATTTGGCTTACCAGTGATTAGTATTGAAAATAAACTATCAGTGATACCATTTTTATTTTTAGTTACATTTTCCATCTCTTTGTCAGACATCAGAACTGCCCTAGAAAAGCAGGCAGGTATTTTGATGATGTTTGTCACCATGTTTTCCTGTCTGTGTCTGAATTTCAGCCTGCCTTCTAACTCATTTTACAGATGTTCATTTTGCTCAAACAAGTCTGTAGCTAGTGGCAGCCGACAGCAGAACAGGAACAAGATTCTTGAGAAAGTAAATCATCAGAGTCCTTGCAGTACACTCTTGTTTGCTTGCTTGTTTTTAAAAATGCTAACTTGAAATATTCATAAAATAGTTGAGTATGTTTAAATAAAATAACAAGTTAAATGTATTTCATTAATGTAGACAGTTTTCAAAATAGGCAAGAATCTTTAAATATCTGAATAGATGTGTAAAACCTTTCTCAGTTGTTTTGTAATACCTCATCTTGTTTCCTGGAACTATAAGCAGAGAAAGTAGAGTAAATTTTTAATAAGTCAAGAAGTCTATAAAGATTTAAACAGCCATTAGTTTGCCTTGTTAATGTTCTTGAAAGAAATCCCCTAGTAGGAGTTTTGGCCAAATAGGACAAATGTCAGCTATTCTGGTTAAGTGCTATGTTCTTGCTTTTCAGTATTTACTTCTGTTTAAAAAATCTAATAATCTTGATTTTTTAAAAATAATCCGTAAAATAAAAAATTGGCACCCTATCTTCACTGTATGGAAAGTTCAAGTCTGACTTAGTAGAAAATGTTAATTTTCTACAGATCACCACCAAAAATGTCCTTTTATTGTTTTTAAATAATAGATACAGAAAACTAAAGGCTAAAGAGACATTTTCTGCTATTTAATAGGTAAAAAATCTCTTGTAATGCTAGGGTCTTTTGTTTCCGTTAGATGCCAATTTGCTTTTGAACACAAAATAAAATTGAAATTAAGTTATTTTTTGTTACTATATAATAAAAAAGATGAACTTCAATGCCAGATTCTAAATTAGTTAATTTAAAACTGATAGGTGAGTTTTCAGAATCTAAAATAGACATCTGAAAGAAAATGTTTTGTTAGAAATGACTGTTCTATCTATTTACAGTCTATATTTATTTTGCTTAATGGAACAATTTCATGTTTCCTAATTGCTAGCCAGAACTGTCAAATTGACAAGATTGCTACCATAGTGTCACTATATTTTCATGGACATTTGAAAATTACCTGACAATAGTGAGCATTGGACTAATTGGTTTTCTGAAAAATGCCTAATTAGCTGTACAGTAAAATCACTTTTCCCTTCATATCTATTTTTAGCATTGATTACATAAACTTTAGAAATGTATTAGTACGTTATTAGTACATGTCATTTTAAATTATTTTTTATTGTGGTAAATTTTTAAAAATACAGCAGTGCAATAGAAATAATAATAATAACAGATACTTATATGGTACATAATATGATCTTAGAAATATTAAATTTATTCTCAAAATAATCCTCTGCAGTTTTATTATATACTCATATGTAGATGAGGAAACTAAGAGATTAGGTATCTTGTAAGAAAGTAAGGAATAATCAAATGCTAAAACCTAGAGAAATAGGCAGGACCTTGAGGCAGGCTCAAATCTTGAGGAAACTGTTTTGAACCAAATAAAATTGTGACTTGCCTTTTATGTTCTTCACATATGGCTCAAAGGATAGGAGAAAAAATCTAAGACCCATCCTAGGTGAAGAGTCATCACCCTGCAAAATGCTGGGACCCCAAATGGATTTTTATCTGGGTAAGCTAGAAATATAATTGCCATCCTCTAGCCAGGACCACAAAACATATTTCTTGTCTTTTTTTTAAATTCATTTTTCAGTTACAGTTGACATACAATATTAAATTAGTTTCAGGTGTATAACATGGTGATTAGACATTTATATACCTTGCAAAGTGATCACCCCTTTAAGTCTAGTATCCATTAGATACCATATGTAGTTATAAAACTATCGATCGTATTCCCTGTGCTGTACTTTGGATCTCTGTAACTGTATTTATAACCAGCAATTTGTACTTCTTAATCTCTTTCACTTTTTTTTTTCCTTCTGAGGAGTGTTAGGCTACAGACCATTCTTAGTGCCCACTGTTCTGGGCACTGAGTGTAGAAATAGCTACTTCTTTGCCCTAATATCATAGGTGCAGCACAGCAGCTGTGTCTGTGGTGCCAGCAGGTCCAGCATCTGCAGAGCATCTCTTTCACCTTTTTAACCCATCCTCTCAATCCCCCTCCCATCAATTTGTTCTCTATACCTATGAGTTTATGTTTTGCTTGTCCATTTATTTTGTTTTTAGATTCCACATGTAAGTAAAATCATATGGTGTTTGTGTTTCTCTGACTTATTTCACTTAGCATAATAATACCCTCTGAGTCCATCCATGCTGTCACAAATAGCAAGATTTCATTCTTTTTTGTGGCTGGGTAATATTTCATTGTATGTATGTACCACAGCTTCTTTATCCATTCATCTATTGATGGACACCTAGGTTGCTTCCATAGATTGGCTATTGTAAATAATACTGTCATGAACATTGGGGTGCCTATATCTTTTCAAATTAGTGTTTTGGATTTCTTTGAATAAATACCCAGAAGTGGAATTGCTGAGTCATATGACAGTTCTATTTTTAATTTTTTGAGAAATCTCCATACTGTTTTCCATGGTGGCTATACCAATTAACAGTCCCACCAGTAGTGCATGAGGATTCCCTTTTCTTCACATCCTTGCCATCACTTGTTTATTTGTTGCTTTATTGATAATAGCCATTCTGACCAGGCGTGAGGTGTATTTCATTGTGGTTTTGATTTGCATTTTTCCGATGATCAGTGATGTTGAACATATTTTCATGTGTCTATTTGCCATCTGTATGTCCTCTTTGGAGAAATGTCTATTCATTTTCTTTTGCCTATTTTCCCCCCCAAAATTTCACCACATATATTTTTTATGCAATCTAAGCTGAGAATGCCATGTAAATGGGTCACTGTGAAATATAGCAGTTTAATTTATCTCTTCAGAATAAGAAACAAAACTGTATGATCTCATTTCTATTAACTTTTGAAGGTTTATAACAGTTAAGGTATTTTTGCTTCTATGTATAAATGTTAAAAGTACCATTTTTTCCACAAAATATAAAAACAACCAATTTCAATGTTAAGTAAAAGTAAAAACTGAGATTCTTGTTTAAATTAGTCCAAAGTGGCATGCAGGTACTTAGTCGTAGGCTCTACTCTGACACCATGATGATAAACCAAAGGGAAAGGCTGGGTCTGGTTTTGTTTTGTTTTGTTTTGTTTTTTTCAATATCCAGTGGTCATGGATTAAGTTCTAGAAGTGTTCTGTTATAAGGCAGGGATCTGTTTGGATTCCATCACAAATATGCTCCTTGCGTTGGATGCTGGAGGGCGAGGCACATTTTACTGGACCCATGTCTACTATCATTTTTAATAGTCATCAAGGTCAAAAAATTCATAGTCCCCTCCTTGGTATTACATTCCCTGGAAATCAACTCAGTAACACAAGATACCTCCAGTTCCACCAAATCCGTTCACCAACTGGGATCCTTCTTGTAACTTATCTGTGAAAATTTCCAGTATAGCTCCAAATTTTTACAGTTGTTAGCAAATCATTCCAGCAGGAGCATGCTCTCAATTAGTTCATGTTCTTGTCCTGTCTCTTTGTGAGATGAGATTTATCCTTCTTTTGTCCTGGAGTTAGAGAATTTTCTCTTCTGTGCTTTGCTCTGCCCATTTTTTAATCAGATTTTTTTTTTTTTATGTTGAGCTATATGAGTTCTTTATATATATTTTGGATATTAACCCCTTATTGAATGTATCATTTGCAAATATTTTCTCCTATCCAGTAGATTGCCTTTTTTGTTGTATTGATGGTTTCTTTTTTGGTACAAAAGGTTTTTAGTTTGATATAGTCCCATTTACTTATTTTTGCTTTTGACTTTGCCTTAGGAGACATATTCAAAAAAAATATTGTTAAGACAAATGTTGAAGTGTTTATCGACTGTGTTTTTTTTCTAGGAGTTTTATGGTTTCGGGTCTTACATTTAAGTCTCTAATCTATACTGAGTTTATTTTCATAAGCATTGTAATATAGCTTACTATCAGGCAACATGATACTTCCAATTTTGTTCTTTTTCAATATTGCTTTGGCTATTTAGGGTCTTTTTTGGTTCCAATATAAATTTTAGGATTATTTGTTCTAGTTCTATGAAAAGTGCATTGGTATTTTGATAGGGATTTTATTGAATCTGTAGACTGCTTTTGGTAGTATGGACATTTTATCGATGTTAGTTCTTCCTACCATGAGCTCGGTGTATCCTCCCATTTATGTGTATCATTTTCAGTTGCTTTCTTTAGTGTCTTAATAGTTTTAACTTCCTTGGTTAAATTTATTCTTAGGTATTTTATTTTTTTGGTGCAATTGTAAATGGGATTGTTTTTTAAATTTCTCTTTCTGATAGTTCATTTTTGATATATAAAAATGCAACCCATTTCTGAATATTTTGTATCCTGCTACTTTACCAAATTCATTTATTAGTTCTAAGAGTTTTTTGGTGGAATCTGTGGAGTTCTCTATATATGGTATTGTGTCATCTGCAAACAATGTCAGTAAATATTGCTTGTTTTGAATTGGAGTCACACTATGTTTGTGACTTTAAAAACCTTGATTTTTTAGTTGCAGATGTCTTGTAAGGCAGTGGTCCCCAACTTTTTTGGCAGCAGGGACTGGTGCTCCTGTGAGAATCTAATGTCCGATGATCCGAGATGGAGCTGAGGCAGTGATGCTAGCACTGGAGAGCGACTGCAAATACAAAAATGAGGCTTCTCTCCCTTCCCCACTGCTCACCTCCTGCTGTGTGGCCCAGTTCTTAACAGGTCACAGACCACTACCAGTCCATGGCCTGGGAGCTGGGGACCCTTGTTGTAAGGTAGTACACCTAGCAGAAACTAATGTAGTCTCTCACCTTTAACTCAAATTTCCGAGAATTCCCACAAATAAAGTTCCAAGAAATAAGAGCTCAGAGTCAAAAATCACAAAAGACACAAGGAGTAAAGATGCCTGAGCAAGAACCAGCAGAACCAACAGGACAGACCCATGAAGATATCAGATTTTGGAATTATATGTTCTATATATTGATTAGATAAATAAAAGAATGATTTGAAATTATTGAGGAAAAAGAAACTGTTAAAGATGAGCAGATTTGAAAATAACCAAATTGATTTTCCAGAAGTGAAAGTTACAGATTTAAAATTTAGTATGTGTAACAACTTAGACATAGCTGATGAGGGAATGAAGAAACTATGCAAAATGTAGCATAGAGAAGCAAAGAGATAAAAAATATGAAAGAATATAAAATACGTGAAGACAGAGTGAAAAGATCTAACAGATCTCATCAGGGTAGGGATACAATTGGGCAAAGGCAATATTTGAAGTATTTATGTTGAAAATTTTTTCAGAACTGATAGAAAAACTGAATATTTAAGAATTCTGACCAGAATAAATAAAAAGAAATGCACATGTGTATGTATAGTAGTGAAAATGAAGAATGCTAAAAACAAATGATCTTTCAATCAGCTAGAGAAAGAAGACATTAAGTACAGAGAAAAGAATGTATTAAGACTTAAGAGTGGCTTCTCAAAATGATAAAAAGAAAGAATACAGTGAGTAGATATTTTCAAAGAGCTGAAAGAAAAGGATTATCAATGAAAATATATTTCAGTAGTGAAGCTTAAATAAAGGCATTTTCAGACAAACTAATAGTATATGGTACCAGTAGATCCTCACTAAAGCTTAAATAAAGGCATTTTCAGACAAACTAATAGTATATGGTACCAGTAGACCCTCACTAAAGCAAATTCTAAAACATCAAAAAAAGGAATGTGATCCCAGATGGTAAGGCTGAGTTGCAAAAAGTAAGGAAAAGCAAAGAAAATGATAACTATGAATAAATCTTTTTGAAAAGACAACATACCTGTGTGAACTAACAATGATAATGAAGATGGCATTTTATGAGGCTCTAGAAAAGAACTAAAATTCTGGCCTACAAAAGCATGTGAGTTAGGAAAAGGTAATAGAGTTAAAGCATTCCAAGATTATTTTATTGTTTAAGAGTATAATGAAGATATGATTTATGTGTAGGCTTTACTAAGGAAAGTTCTCCTGACCTATTCCCACTCAAAGGCTTTACTAAGGAAAGTTCTCCTGTCCTATTCCCACTCAAAGAGGTGTTTTTTCCTCTTTCCTTCCAGATATTTTTTATATACCACTATGCATACATTTGTTTTGGATGATCTCCATTGATCCCCTTCCATTAGCAGACTATTAAGAAATAATTTTTTTTCTTACTCTTTAGAAACTATTTGGTACATGCTGAAATAAATTTTTAATTATGGTGTACTTTTAAAGGTATATGTAACCATTTATGTAATACATGTTTTCCAAATTTATAAATAAAAGCTAGATTTTCTTCAGTGATTTTTACTCAGATTTTTAATTGTTGGAAAATTGTACCCTTATTTGGTTTATCTAATTCTTTAAAATTGTTAGCACACTATATTCTTTAACTGAATGATTATCAACTAACATTTATATGAAAGGACTGTTGAAAAGAGTACCTAAGTGATTATAAATTTGTTGTGTATTAAACTACATATATATATATATATAGAAACCACATCAGTAATGATTGATTCTTTGAAAGGTATTTTATGACATGCAGAAAATATTTAGGGCTTTATTTTGACTCTGAATTGAAAATTGGAAATATAGATTGGAAAAAATATCTCTGATTTGTATGAGACCTTTGTTTGAAGACCTAATTTCTCAGTTTTTCCTTCTTAGCCATGTATGTTTTTCTAAGATGACTTTAAGTTAGAGCCAGAGCCTATCTGGACACCACTGGTTTTGAACCTGGAGTTGCTTTAGGTTCATTTTGTAATGGTCAAAAGACCATTTCAAACCAGTATCTAACAATGATGTCCTAATAAGGAACACTTTTGTTTGAATCTTTCTCCTCTCCAGCATATAGTAATATTGCTGTTGCATTTATTCTGTGTCAAACATTGTATTCAATGCTCTATGTATATTACCTTTCTCACAACGTTCTTAACTGAGGAAATCACATAAACAGAAACATGGGAGACATAAAAATTTGTTACAAAAATGGCCAGC